GAAGGTGAAGGATGTAGGTGTGGAAGGAGGTTTTCCTGAGGAAGAACCACCCCCTGAAATCATCAGGCAGCTCATAGCTGTGTGGTGCAAGGTGACCTCAGGCCTTCTCCTAGTTAGCTGATGATGGTCCAGATATAGCCCAGCCTTGCCTACGGCTCATTTTCTTAGAAAGGGACATCTGTGTGATGTGTTCATGCTGGCCTGCTTTGGGGCTCATGTCTTCTGGGGACAGATGTTCCTGTCATCCTGTGACCCTCCTGACCAGTTGCAAATGGAAGCTCTAAGCCATTGCTAGAGGACCACCTCCTTGAAAAGATTTTTCAGTGCTTTTATGAAGAAACCAGGCACACACGGATTCTCTTTGCTGGTGAATAGAACAGTCGAGCTCAAGACCTTTGTGTCAGCGAACGGCCCCAGGGATTTGTGATCGTGAGAGTTTCTGTGCTAAGTACTAACTTCAAAACGAGGTGGGCCTCAAAACCCCCCACCATTGGCTCCCAAGCTATAGATGAAAGCGGAGACATTGTAGAGTCTTTGAAGAGAGACTGAGCCTGGAACTGGGGATGCCAGCTGTTAAACTTCACTTGCTCTGCTTTCCTATCTGTACTTTCCCAGTGAAGAGCCACATTGTGCCCTGGCTGGCTGAGAGCAGAATTTTGAAGCTTTGAAGCCCCCTGCGAAGAGTCAGAGCATGCCTGCCCCTCAGCAGGCACACTTCAGGTCACATCCTGTGCACAGCTGAGGCATGCCGGGCCTTTCCCAGCATGCATTTCAAGAGCCCAGGAAGTGTCTCTTGTGACAAGTTAACAAGGTGTCTCTTTTTGACTGGGGATAAGACTAGGCCCTTAACCTTTCAAATTCTACAGAGGCTAGCTAACCCAACAGGCTGGGTTTCCATTTACAGACCATTACCAGGCCACCAGTCTGGCTTTGCCCAGGTTTGCCCTACTGCTTGTGCTCTGCTCTGCGTCAGTGGGGCCAGCCTTCTCATAGATTCAGTCGCCTGCAGGTGTTTGTTGGTTGGCCCCCTGGTAGATACTCAGCACTAGACTAGGAGACAAGGTTGGTGCTAGAGGTGCCAAGAATGGTGTCAAATCCTCAGAGACTTGATCAAGGAGTTGTAAAGATGGAAGGAATATAACTGGTGACACCACCAGTTCATTTTTTTTTAATTACAGAAAGAGGTCACTGAGTGTTTTGGGGTTCAGAGACATGCCCACTTTGTGAGAGAGTGGGGGAAGCTGAGAGGGCTGCATCTGAGTCAGGCCTTGCAGGCTGAGTGGAGCACGCTGGGGGCGGGCAGGAAGGAAGGGTCCCTGCAGATGAAGTGGGACGTACTGGCCCAGTAGGAAGGCAGTTCTGGCTGTGATGCAAGATGATGTTAGGAGCTGGGCGGGCAGGCTGGAGAGGCCCCTGGCTTTCTTCTCATTCCACACATGTCTGGACGAAGGATGAGCTTGATTTGATTTAAGAGACAGATCCATCCTGTTGGTGGCCTAGGATTGACCCCAGGCCCGGGCTCTGGAGAACATGTTTGCACAGCTTCCGCTCCAGAGGGAACCACTGCTTGTCTGCTGGTGCTTGTTTGCCAGGAGATGAAGAAATTCTATCTGCCATGCACTCACTGCTCTGCCCAGTAGAGACTTGGCTGTTGATCCTGCAGGATCTGAACTGCCTGCCTATCCTCTTGTAATGGCTGGGGACTATAGTGGCAGGAATTGAGCCATGCCTGGTAAGACTCGGGTGGTAGAGGCACCCCAGCTTGCATCCAGCCAAGCAGAAGGTTCCTCTGGGCTTGCAAAGGGTGAAGAACACCGGTACCCCCAGCTTCCCAGCTTCTCTGTCAGGAGGCCAGCAGAGAGAAGACACCAGAACCTCAACCCCTGGGCTCCTTTGCCATTCAGTCACTGTGTGAGCTCATTGTCCTAAAGCTCCCTGGGATGCCACTCAGGTCCACACCAGCCACCACTGCGTCCCTCCTCCCGCGGTTCCCATCTTCACCTGCTCCCCACCTTCCACCAGAATGAGATGCCAAGCCCTTTGCCAAGCAGTCTGCTGCTCACCACGGGCTGTCTCTCCAGCCCTGCCACCCGCTTCCCTTCCACCTTGACTATGATCCTGCCAAATGCTACCCCTGAACTTTGTTCACCTTTTCCTCAGCAGTCCAGAACCAACACCTACTCGCTCTTCAGAACCCTCAGTGCTTCAGAAGCTCATGAGGCTGCCTGCACTCCCCACCACCAGCCACCAGCCATTCTCTTTACCTCACCTCACCTTTCCCTGCCTCAACCTCCCTCTTCTTACCTTCCTTACACTGTAGTCCTGAGGGACTCTTCTGTTTCCTTCCAACTCCAGCAGAGAGCCCTTCAAGCCTAGGAAATGCATCATCCCATATGAGACTGTCTCCTGGGTGGAGTGCTCATCCCAACTGTTCTGGGAATAACAGGAGGCCGGAGAGGATGTGGTTCTGGGGATGCCTGGAAGTGGGGGGAGGGCTTGGCTTCCCTCTTGGGTCCTGGCTGGAGCCCAGTGGATGTCCTCACGCCCACTCCAGGTGCCGTTGAGATTTGTGTCAGACAGAAGCAGGGCCAGGCTTGCCAGGCAGGCCGCCTGTGCAGGAGGGGGAGGGAGGCACAGCTGGCCCTATGGACTGATTGTATACCACATCCTGCATTCTTCAAGGATGAGGACGCATAGGTTTTAGATCTTTGTGGAGTGGAGTGAAATTCAGTGAATTCTTGTCAAAGCCATTTCAACCTCAAATTAGTAATAAGTCATTTGCAGTCCTTTGACAGTATTCACATATTTGTTAGGCTGTATGAAATCTCAAGTTCAGTGTCGTAAGGCTAAAAAGTTTATTGCTGTTGCATTGGCCGGGAATCGAACCCGGGCCTCCCGCGTGGCAGGCGAGAATTCTACCACTGAACCACCAATGCTCCAGTTGTCTACAGCTGTGTGGCACCTCCTTTAATTCTAGGCCTCCTTGTATGTCTGTTGAGTCACAGCCCAGACTCTGATGCTGCCACATCAGCAGTGCTGCAAGAACAGTAAGCCTCCACTCCAGAGCAGGAGGGAGCAGAAAGGTGGGTGTGGGCATGTGGAGTATGTGTGTACACACGCACACATAATTGATTTGCCTTCAGGCCTTAAAACAGAAACTGGCGCTCAATTCCCTGCTCAGTAAGTACTTGGGTGTGTCTCCCCTCTGTTGTCTGAATTTCCCATTCCATTTAGTTTGTGTTAGGCTTTCTGCTGGCCACCAGCACGGGCTGAGGAGCTGTACAATGGAGTCCCCTTCAGGGGATGACTACAGGCTGAGCTGCCACAGCCAGCCTAGCTTCTCTGGGGAGCCCCAGTCACTCCCTTGAGCCAAACGTGTGGTGCCAGACTCACTGGGGCCTTGGGCGGCTGCTGCAGGCCCTCTGTGGTTGAGAAAGATGGCTCCTCCTGTGTGACAAAGCTAGCCAGGAAGAGACAAAAATAAAAGCAGCACTGCATTGGCCGGGAATCGAACCCGGGCCTCCCGCGTGGCAGGCGAGAATTCTACCACTGAACCACCAATGCTCCAGCTGTCCTCTGAGGCATCTGCAAGACTCTTCTCATTGGGCTGTCTCTATAACTACAGGAGTTCTGTCAGATTCCTGGGCCTCACCTGGCTGGTTTGTTCAGTCTGGGAGACAGGTTTATATATCTCCAGCCTTAACAAATGTTCATATGCTACTGCTTCTTCAGACTTGGGGCTAGGAACTGGAGTTCACTTTCCACCAGGGGCTCTTGGTTCATCTCTCAGTTCTAGCCCTCAGCCCCATGAGGATGTGATTCTTCTCTCCCATACAAGCGCCCACCGTTGTCATGGCAAAGAAGTCCTTCACTAGAACTTGAGCTGATTCAGGAGCCATGGCCTTGAACCTTCAACACCATAAGCTAAATAAACTTTTCTTCATAAGTAACCTACTTCTCCTATTTCATTATAACAACAAAAAACTAATATACCTTTTTGTTGTTGTTGTTGTTATTCGTGAGGCTTGAACTCGGGGCCTGGGTGCTGCTCTTGAGCTTTTGTGCTAAAGACTAGCACTGTACTACTTTGAGCCATACCTCCACTTCCAATTTTTAGGTGGTTCAAGTCTCACTGCCTCTCCTGCCCTTGCTGGCTTCAAACTGCAATCCTCAGATCTCAGCCTCCTGAGTAGCTAGGATTAGAGGAGTGAGCCACCAGCACCCAGCTCTGCCTTCTTTCCTTTACCTGGGAAATGCTTGTCAACGTGTTTTAAGATTTGGTTATCCAGCTGGGTGCTAGTGGCTCACATCTATAATCCAGCTACTCAGGAGGCTGAGATCTGAGGGTCGCTGTTCAAAGCCAGCCCAGGCAGGAAAGTCCTTAAGACTCCTATCTCCAATAAACCACCAGTAAACCAGACATGGTGCTATGGCTCAAGTGGTAGAGCACTTGCCTTGAGCTGAAGAGCTGAGGGACAGTGCCCAGGCCCAGAGTTCAAGCCCTACAATGGACAAAAAAAAAAAAAAAGATTTGGTTCCCAATCCACCTAAGGAGCGTTAGCCGTGGATGGCTTTGTACAACACTTGTTACAGCTACTTGTTTGGATGTGGGTCTTGCCCATCAGTCTATAGAGTATTGCTAGAGCTGTCCCTGAAATAATGGCCAGATGAAGACACCCTCTGTGCATGAGTAAAAGTTGAACAAATCTTCCATAAATCCAGTAGAAGTATTATGATCCTCAGTGGGACAATAGTTTACATTTTCAAAAGTGAAATGGTGCTATAGTTCCTCCTTCCAAAGAGGATACACAAAAGGAACCTGAGACTGGACTAGGGAAACAATCATGGCCCATCCAGCATCTCCCAGGCAACAGCAGAACTGAGAAGACCTGCCCTAAAATCCCACTTCTTCTTTCCTGATCCCATGCCCCTCTCTGGAGCCCCATGCAGCTAGGGCAGCCTGGTTCCACCCATCCCACAGCTCCTCTTTCTCTTTCCAGGCTGGTTCGGGAATTCGTGGCCCAGAACAACACCGTGCAAATCAAGCATGTGATCCAGACCCTATCTCAGGAGTTTGCTCTGTCCCAGCACCCCCACAGCCGGAAAGGGGGCCTCATCGGCCTGGCCGCCTGCTCTATCGCCCTGGGCAAGGTAACACTTCTCCTGGGGGACAGACACACTAGTGATGGCCTCCACTGTAACTGAAGCATCGATACCTTTCATATCGAGACCCAGCAGGATCCTGCAGATCTGTATTTTATTACCACTCTTCCTACACCTAAGACCAGCAAGAGTGGCTTCCAGGCCTTACATCCATATCCTCAGATGTAACCCCTCTTTTAGGAGACTGGCTTGGGATAGATCTTTAAGCCCAGCCCCTGCTCAGAGGCCTAAGCATCTTGGGCATCAGCTGACACTGCAGGCTGTGGAGCCAGGAACTTTTACCATTCTGATCTGTGTCACTGCCTTCTACCCATTGCAGGACTCTGGGCTCTACCTGAAGGAGCTGATTGAGCCTGTGCTGACCTGCTTCAATGATGCAGACAGCAGGCTACGCTACTATGCCTGCGAGGCCCTCTACAACATCGTCAAGGTGGCCCGGGGTGCTGTGCTGCCCCACTTCAATGTTCTTTTTGACGGACTGAGTAAGGTAACCTTCTGTAGCTGGGAAAGCCCTGGGGATGTCCATGGGAGTTCTGCACCTGACTCCTCGGCCAGGGTGTTTTACCTCCCTCCCTCCCCCCCCCCCACCTTTCTCAGACCCATTCACTGAGCAAACTTTGTGTTCTAAGCTGCACCATAGGCTTGGTGGCCATGGGTATATGGTAGGTCTCTTGGCTTGCATTTGACTGTGACCATTTCCTCTGTGTTTCTCTCCTGTTTCTGTGCCTTGTAGCTAGCTGCTGACCCAGACCCCAATGTGAAAAGTGGATCTGAGCTCCTGGATCGTCTTTTAAAGGTATTTTTACTTTGTAATCACTTCCATCTTCTTATTTTTAGAATCTGATTTTTCTATATGTACAGTTGAAAAATTCTGATGTTGAAGGTGTTCTTCCCTCGTTGTTTTATTTCTTTGTTTTGGATTTGCAGCATGGGGTGGCGGGAGTTGAGGGGACGGGGGGCAGGGAATATGGAGGGTTGAACTCAGGGCTTTGTGCTTGCTAAGCAGATGCTTGAACGATACCTCCAGCCCCTTTTTGGTTGTTTTCAAGGTAGAGTCTTGCTTTATGCCTGGTTTATAATCTTCCTACTTGTGCTTCCCTGTGTAGCTGGGGATAACACGTGTGTGGCACTGCGCCTAGCCATTGTACTTCCTCTGTAGCTTAGATATCAGGCACCCACCACTATGCCCAACACTGATTGAGATGGGATCTCACAAACTTATGCCTAGGCTAGCCTCATATCACAATCCCCCGATTTGCCTCCCAGGGGAGCTACAGTCTTGAGCCACCATACCACCATACCTGGCTATCACCCTTATCTTAACTCTCCTAGGCAAAGCAAAGCAGTTTTCCTACCATACCACTCTTCCCATGACAGAACAACAGGTATTTGGACTAGACTACAAGGAATAGGTTTTTGCCATTCTGTTAGTTCCCTGGACCTTTCAGTCTTACCTGTTTTGCTTATGTTTTGGCCTGTAACAAGGTAGATTCTCCAGGGACCTCACCTCTGTAACTCAGGCTCTGCTGTTTCCCTCATGGTTACCTGACCCTAGAGCTGGCCCAGGGCCAGTAACGCAGTAGGTCAGAGAGGCCTGGTCTTTGCCTCTTGACAGCTCACATTCTTTTCATCCACAGGATATTGTGACTGAGAGTAACAAGTTTGACCTGGTGGGCTTCATCCCCTTGTTAAGGGAAAGGATTTACTCCAACAACCAGTATGCCCGGCAGTTCATCATCTCCTGGGTAAGGTCCAGCCCCTGGCATGGTTCCTCCAGGCACAGAGATCCTCTGCTCCAGTCGCATCAGCTCTCTAGGATTACAGGCTTGAGCCACCGTACCTGGTCACCCCTTTTATTTTAACACTCCTGGGCAAAGCAAAGTTTACTTTCTACATGACTCTTCTCCATGACAGAGAAGGGTATTGTAGTTCCTTTGGTCTCCTTGTTATCACCCTTGTAGCCAGCAATCCTAGTAATCCAAAACATTTTATCCACCTTTGACTTGAACATCCATCCATCCTGTTTGCCCCTGAAGAGATACAGTTCTTTCTCTATCTCAGAAAACACCCACGAATCTCTGATGCCCATAGTACTTCCTCCCACAGTTACCTTTGTTAGCCTCAGCTGGCCTCCCCAATCCATCCCCTTCTCCCCAGGCATCCAAATCACCTTGGAGTCAAACTACCAGCCTCTGCATGTGGAAGGAAAATGATCACTGCCAGCACTCTGTCCCAGAGACACCTGACTACTGTGACATGTGACACTGTAGGGTTCCCTTCACTGCCAGGTCCCCAGACAGCAGTAAAGGGGAGAGGAGGCTCTCCGCCTGGGCCAACTCTCCCTTCTCCCGCTTCCCCTTGGCCAGATCCTGGTTCTGGAGTCTGTGCCAGACATCAACCTGCTGGATTACCTGCCAGAGATCCTGGATGGACTCTTTCAGATCCTGGGTGACAATGGCAAAGAGATTCGGAAAATGTGAGTACAAAGTGGGACAAGCAACTGCTGAGACCCATGGGCTGCACAAGATTCCCAAGCCCCATGCCAGCAGGAGAGCCTAGGATGCTGGTACTAACCTGTGTGCTTCTGCTTCCACCCCTGGTGTCTAAACAGTGTCCCCCTGACACCTGGCCAACCCAGAGCACCACCTGGTGCTATTCCTTCCTCCTCTTCTCATCGGTAGGTGTGAGGTAGTTCTTGGAGAATTCCTGAAGGAAATTAAGAAGAACCCCTCCAGTGTTAAGTTTGCTGAAATGGCCAACATCCTGGTGATCCACTGCCAGACCACAGGTAAGTGTGTGAAGACCCAGCTGCCTCTTGGAAGCCCCTTTCTCTCGTGTCTTGGCTCCAGTGAGGAGGCAGGCAGGAGCTATGGTAGGAGACACTGGACAGCAGGCGCCATGGTATACAGGGTCTTGGTGAGGAAGAGAGCCAGATTCTCTGTTGACCTGGAAATCCTTTCATTTTGTCTGAGATAAAGTAAAGATCTGGAGCTCCTTTTGCAGCAGGCATGGCCTAAGCACTTAGGGTTGGAATGTTTGGAGCTTAGGATCGTATATGTTAGTTTTTGTGAGGTATCAAACCACTGAGTAACATAACTGCTTTAAAACAATAGCAACTGTTACTGATCATGAGTCTGCAGGTCAGTGGAATGAATTATACTCCCCTTAGCCAGACTGGGCCTGGTGTGCACCTGGGCAGTCAGTTGCAAGAGTGACTAGATGGGGTGGTCTGAGACAGCTTCTCCCATGTCTAGCAGTTGCCTGGCTGGCAGCTGGGGTGAGAGGCAATGGGTTCCAGTGCCACATCATTCCGCAGACTGGTCTCTGTGTGTTCAAATGGTATCAGCAGGATTTCAAGAGAGAGAGGACAAGGTCTCTAGAAGCCTAGGCTTGAGCCAGGCCATTATAGGCTGGAGTAGCCAGCAAGTCCAGATAGAGAAAAAGGGTAAGGAAAGTAGGAAAAACACCACTTCTAGATAAATGAGACTCAAAGTCACATCACGGGGGTGCATGGATCTGCAGAGGGCAGAGAATCAGGGCTAGTTCCGCAGTCCAGCCCAGCATGGTCATTCCCTTCCAGCCCACTGTCCGCATGGACTTTCCTTTGGAAAAAGCCAATGCACTTGGGCAAGGGAGTATTGGCAAGGAAGGCTAGAAGCAATTCAGCCTGTGTTGCCCCCATACCCCAACGCTGTCCTGCTCAAGCATGCATTCATTGGGAGGGTCTCTCTGGCTGCTTGAGCCAACCCCTCCAGAACCCACCGACTTCACTTCCAGACGACCTGATCCAGCTGACGGCCATGTGCTGGATGCGGGAGTTCATCCAGCTAGCTGGCCGAGTCATGCTGCCCTACTCTTCGGGGATCCTGACGGCTGTCCTGCCCTGCCTGGCCTATGATGACCGCAAGAAAAGTATCCTTCACTCCAGGGAAAAGAAGAGAGGGCAATCTCAGAGGAAGTTGTGAAGTAGAGGGACCCTGAGAGGGGAGGGGGCTCCCTTGGTATCTCCTTCACAACTCCAAATAGTCCTTAGCATCTAGGAAAAAAGAGATGGGGCTTAACATGCATTTGGAATGCTGGAGCAGGGCACTGGTGGCTCACACCTGTAATCCTAGCTACAGAGGAGGCTTGAGATCTGAGGATCATGGTTTGAAGCCAACCTGGCAGAAAAATCTCTGAGACTCTCATTTCTAGTTAACTACCAAAAAGCCAGAAATAGAAGTGTGGCTCAAGTGGTAGAGCACCAGCCTTGAGCTAAGCAAGAAAGCAAAGCTCTGAGTTCAAGCTCAGTACTGGTATCCCAATGGAAAGCTGGCTATTCCCAACCATATCTGCTTACTTACAGACCTGAGGCCACGCTTACAGGCACCAAAGTTCTGTTCTTCTAAACTCAACTGCACACCTCAATAGGTAGAAGTCCTATTGGTAGGAAGACTCTGCACCCCCTCTTCCACCACCCTGCCCCAGAAGGAAGAACCACTCACAGAGGCTCTGGGGTAATAGGAGACTCGGGTCAAACTGCCTGCTTGCCCACTGACAGCCTCTGGGGAGGACTGAGCCCCTGACCAGGAAGACCAGAGACATCAAGCCTAAGGGGGACTGTGTAAGGCTACTCCTTACATCAGTGACACAGGCATCAAGGAGGTGGCCAACGTGTGCAACCAGAGTCTGATGAAGCTGGTCACCACGGAGGACGATGAGCCAGATGAGCCAAAGACAACAGTTCAGAGACAGGCTGAACTCAACCCTGAGGACTCCCTGGCAAAGCAGGAAGGCACAGCTCGTGGTGAGTAGACATTCCCACTTTACCTTCCATGCACTGAGGTCCTGGGACTTGACTTGCAGCCTCGTGTAATTCTAGTAGCAGCCCAGTGAAGCAGGAACTGTTTATCTCCATTCCTGAGGCCCTAGCAGCTAGTGCATGGTCAGATTCACGTCACACCCTTCCCCCCACACCCATGCTCTTAACACCTAGGAGACCATCAGTTGCATGTTGCCCTTAATCCTTCTCTGGGGTACGCCACAGTAAGTCGTTGTGTGGAACCTGGCTGGAGCACCAGGCTGCACAGGACTTCTGTTTTCTTGGCCTTTAACATCAGCCATTTGACTGCCACAGTCATTCTCAGTGCTCAGGAAGTCTTTAAAAATAATGAGTTACTGTGTTCCACTCAGATTCTTGAGGCATTTTTTTGTGTTTATCCATAACCTAGTGCAACCATTTTTATGTTGCCTGGCATCTAGAGTTTAAACATTGTCTAGAGTTCAAACATTGTCTAGAGTTCTTTGACCCTATCCTCACTGAGAAAGCTCGGATCACCTCCCTTGCAGTCAGTTCAAGATGCAAGTCTGTAAGGATAAAGGCTAGAGCTTTCTGCAAGAGCCAAAAGCATTTTCTCCCTTTACTACTTGTGGGTTTCTCTGTTGAATATCTGCGCAGACTATCAGTGACCGCCCATGGGTCCGCCTCCTGTGGGTGTGACTGGTAGAAGTGAGAAGCACTCCTAGCTGGACCTGCCTCAGGAGTCAGGTTGCAGCTCTGCTAATAACACTGCAAGTAAGACAAGCAAAACAGCTGGAGGCAGGACAGCCCACAGCTGGAGCATTGGTGGTTCAGTGGTAGAATTCTCGCCTGCCACGCGGGAGGCCCGGGTTCGATTCCCGGCCAATGCAAGCAGCTAAACACACTTTTTTTTTTTTTAAAGTAACTCCTGGAAAAAGAGGAAATAAGTTAGTACAGGCCTTTCAAGAGAAGTGCTTTCTTGCTAAGAGAAATTAAAAGTCTCAGTGCTAAACATGCTTTATGAACTTGCACCAAGATACTTTATTGTGGCTCTTTTTTGTTTTATTTTCATTTTAGAACATTTTCAAAACAGAAAAATACAAAGCAGCAAGACTTGCCTTCAACCAAAAGACAATCAGTGTCAAAGTTTTGACATTTTAAATTTTTTAGTATATACATAACTTAAGTCATACATCTTAAAACAGCTACACATCTGGTTTGGGGGAGAATTGAGGGATTTTCTTTTCCTTGTTTAACTTTGCTTTGGTTTTGGCTTAACATGAAAGTTAGTGCCTCGCACTACAAAGTCAAGAAGTAAAATAGTGGTTGTCTGGGTTAAGGGGAGGTGGGTCCTGACACCAACTGCTTACAGACCCTGGCTTCTTTTAGGAGTAATGGAAATATTCTGGAATTAAGTAGCAATGATGTTTGTACACCTTTTTGATTGTATTTTTTAAACCCAGTTGTACATTTCTACTAAGTGAAATTTTATGTTATATGAATTAGATCTCATTTAACACACACAGAGTTAATACCTCTTTCCCCTCAAGTATACTTAGCAGCCCACCCTTTCTGATTACATTGGAGCGGTCTAGAAGGAACTGCTCCATTCTGTGGGTTATGATAGGCAGCTGAAACACTTTCTCTGAGCCAGAGCATTGGTGGTTCAGTGGTAGAATTCTCGCCTGCCACGCGGGAGGCCCGGGTTCGATTCCCGGCCAATGCAGTTTTTTTACCCTTTCTCAGTTAAGCATTCTTCAAGCAGCTGCCTGCTCAGGAGAGCATTCCCCCAAACCAGGACACATTCCGGCAGCTTGGCTCAGGATTTTACTGCCTCATAAACAGCAATTCCAGCAGATGAAAAGCACATTTTATCGTCGTTCCCAGAGATGGCAACAGCTAATTTGACAGCTTCACATTCACTCATAGCCCTTCTCAGCTTGTAACTAATCACATTCTTACCAAGATGCCTAGGAAAGAGTCCCAACCATGCCAGAGATAACCCAGCTAGACAGTGAGCAGGCTCAGCCCAGCCTGAGCCTCCACAACTTAACTCTTTCCTCTCCTCCTACTGTTCAACCCTTGTCCACCTGCTGTGATAGGAACCTCCTGTCTTGTCTTCTGGCCTCAGTCTGGGCTCTTTATATCCAGCCTACATAGTACACATGTGTGCATACCCACCTTGGACCCAGTCTAGACCCCTTCTTTGAGTCCATTGCTCCCAGTCCATCTCCATCTGTGGCAGCTCCTGCTTAGCCCTGTTTGGGAGGTTATACAATGTAGCCTCCCCCACTTAATCCTGTGATAATCCCCAATTGCCTCAGGTGTCACAGCAAAGATTCTGGGGGTTCAACTGGGTGCCTGTAATCCTAGCTATTCAATCTGAGGATTGCAGTTCAAATTCAGCCTGGGCATGAAAGTCTTTGAGACTCTTATCTTCAGTTAAGCACCAGAAAACCAGAAGTGGCACTGTGGCTCAGAGTGGTAGAGCACCAGTGAGCTCAGGGACAGCACCTGGTCTCTGAGTTCAAGCCTCACAACTGACAACAACAAAGATTCTGGGGGTTGGACAAACTTCCAATCCTGGCTGAGCTCACTTCATTCCTGCTTAGCCTCACTTTGGTCTTCATATATAGTCCAGACTGGCCTTGAATTCACGATCCTCCTTTTCCGCCTCAGCTTCCTGAATACTAGAATTATAGGTACGTACCAATATTCATGGCTCCAGTGCTCAGCCTAAGGCTAAGATTCCATATTTCTTAATACCTAGTACTTCCTAAGGTACAATGTGGCTGTGAGTTTCAAACCATATTATTGCATATGTAACATGTGGTATACCATCTGAATTTATAATAGGGTTCCATCCTGCTAAACCTGCTAGTTGGAAATACCATGAATTCAGAATGCATTTAATACACCTAACCTACCATCCATCATAGCCTAACAGAGCCTACTTTAAACACTTACATTTGCCTACAACTGGCCAAGGCTTCAGTGTGCCCCGTACCCATCTGTAAAATGGAGATAATCAACTATGTACAGCGATTAAGAGAAATAAAGGAGTTTGTAAAGGGCCTAGGAAATGCCCAGCAAGTAGTGAATGAAGGCATGAGGGACCCCAGTTTGCGTCAGCTGAGCCCTCATCCGCTTGTGACCAGTGTTTCTGCTTCTGTTCTCCCATCCTCCACCTGCCTTAGTCAACTTGAAGCACATTTCCAACACCAGACCATTTCATCTGCAAATGATTGTGTTCCTTAAAGACCAAAATGCCTTTTATAAAACAGTCACAATGCCATTATCACACTTCAGAAAATCAGAGTAATTACCAAATAGCTATTCAGGGTTTATATTCCTAGGACACAAAGATGATGATACATTCTTTCTTCCTTTTTTTCTTTCTCTCTTCCTCTTTTTTGTTGTTTGTTTTGTTTTAGACAGGGTCTTGCCATATAAGCCAGGCCATCCCCAAATGCAAGATTCTCTTGTTTCAGTCTCTGAAGTGCTGGAATTGCAGGCATGTACCATGTACCTGGCTGATGGGTTTTATATACATCATTTAAGTTAGGAGCAGACTGTATGCCAAGGGACATGGAATAATATGGTCCTTTATATCTTGAAATGTTTGTTTTGAGAAAGAAGGTAATTTGTCACAGAGTTCCCTGGAATCTTTGCCATACCCACCTGTCCCCTGTATTCCAAATAGATTGTTATTGCTACTTAGGCACAAGTTCTAATTTTTTTGCTAAGAATTTTGTTTTCTTTTTTGTGGTACTGAGGTTTCAATTTAGGACCTAATGCTTGTTAGGCAAGTAAGTGCTCAACAACTTGTGCCACGCTACCAGTAAGAAAGGGGAATCACAGAAATGGGGGGACGAAGGGTGAACCAATTCAACAGTGATACTCACTAGACACTAAGTTGGAAATGAACTTTGCAACTTGGTGGGGAGGGAAATTGGGAAGGGAAAAAAATAGGGAGAAAATGAGAGAAGGGAAATATACTTATTACCTGACTTATGTAACTGTAACCTCTCTGTACATTACCTTTACAATAAAATTTAAATTTTAAAAAGAAAGATTAGGTTAGGCACAGTGACTCATACTTATAATCCCAGCTATTCAGGAGTCAGAGATCAGGAAAAGCATGGTTTGGGATTATGCCAGGCAAAAAGTTAGCAAGTTATCTTCCTATCTCATTAAACAAGCTGGGCATAGTGGGCTATATCTATAAATCCCAGCTATTCAGGAGGTAGAGGTAGAAGAATTGAGGTCCAATGCCAACCTAGTCAAAAAGTATGAAACCCTATCTGAAAAATAACTCAAAAAAGGCTAGAGGCATGATTCAAGTGGTACAGCACCTGCCTAGCAAACACAAGGCCCTGAGTTCAAACCCCAGTACCACTTTAAAAACAATGCTTATATCGCTTTCAGGATGTGCCAGGTATCATTTGTAAACACCTAACAAATGTTCATGTGTCACGCCCCCTCGTGGTGGACAGTGGAGGAAGGGAGGCAGGGTCAGGTAGCTTGCCCCAAATCCCATGGCTAGTCACTGAGGAGTAGAGCCTGAGCTGAAGCCAAGGGGCTGCAGAGTTCCTGTTTATCAGCCTACAGCTCTGAAGAAGAATTAACACAAAAGGGCAACAAAAGATGCTCTGTGTGAGTGGGAATCAGAAGACTGCAGAGGAAAGCAGTTTCCCTTTTACTCATCAAGTTGGCAAACACTGGAGGGATGACTAACATCCCGTGTGAGGCTTTGGGAGGCCGAGTGCTCTTCACTGCTGCAAGTGCATATGAATTGCTAGACCCTCCCTACAGGGCAACTGCACAGGGTCTGCTGAATCACATGTCTGGGCCTTGCCCTGGCAGCCCTGCTTTATAGGGATCCTCATGTGGAGGGAGCTCAGGAGAACTGGCTGAGTGCAAAATGAATTTCTGAGTCCTAGCAGTTCATCTACAAATGTAGAGATGTCTCTGAGAGGGACATGGCCTCCAGGGACATGCTGCCATATCTGTCCTGCCAGGATTCACTGCTCTTGCATCTCGCCTTCCTTCCCTTTGGCCCTAGGCTGGAGCATCTTGCTTCTTTAAAAAGGTTGCGGTTTTTAAAAGGTTATTCTTTAAGCGGATAAAAGCCATTGTTGATGATGCCACTTAGACGCTGTTCTTCCCCGTCATGTAGCAGTAAGGTCACTACAGGTGACAGAATTGAGTTGGCCCTATGGAGAAAGGCAGGCAGATTGCAGTTAAGTCTTTCCCAACGTCAGTCCCTTGATTGACATATTTTCCGTACCATTTATAGCCAACCTAAAGTGTACATTTCAGTGACTTCTGTATATTTAGGGTTATGTAATCACCAGCATAATCAATATCAAAACACTTTCAGTGTCTAAAAAGAATCTTTTAATAATTTTTATTGAGATTAAGTGATTAGATAAATTTCACAAATTTCACAGTATTATGTCTAAAAAGAATCTTAGCAACCAGCTGTGGTTGACTCATTGTTGTAATCCTAGGTACTTGCGAGGATCACAGTTTAAAGTAAAAAACAAAAGGTCAGGGGAAAAGAAGTTTGAGAAACTCCATCTGATCCAACAGAAAGCTTGCTGTCATACGATATCCCAAATAGCCTTTCATGACACCCTGTTCTGCTTCCTCTCCCAGGAGGTCCAGATGGCTCTTGTGACTCTAGCTTCGGGAGTGGCATCAATGTCTTCACCCCAGCCAGGTAAGCAGTGTGTTCCAGTCAGAAGTGTTTGAAAAGCAAGTAGCCCACATCTTTCCTGAGTGTGGGGGACTGCAGGGAAGACCCAAGGCAAACTGCTGAGGCCTCTGTTTCAGGAGCTTCTATGTCCAAAGGATGACTAAGGAGGGGATCTAGAGGGCATTTTTGAGACCCTAGCCCGCCAACTTCCTGTGACCAGATAGCTTTGAGAGAGAGATTAGAAACCATTCAAAGTTAGTAAATTCATTTGGTTTTGTGTTCATTTTGTTTTGGGGTTGGGGGGGGGGGTGTTTGAGACCAGGTCTTGTCTAGCCCAGGTTGGCCTGGAATTCAGCAATCCTACCTCAGTCTCTCAAATACTAGGATTACAGGCATGTGCCATTCTGCCTGGCCATAAACCCAGCTCAGGCTAGGTCATGGCAGTGACATTTGCAGATGATTCTGCTTGTCCAAACATTGTGGGGCTACAAGAACAACAAGGCAAAGGCTGATGGGAGACTAGCTAAGCACAGATGCCAAGACTGTGGTGGACTCCCAGTGCAGGAACTGCTCAACACTCCTAGGGCAACTGTCATAGCACAGCCTTCCACAGGAGGGCAGTACAGGCCAAGCAGACGAACAATCCCATGCCTCGCCAACTCCCACCATGCTCCTGAAGGGTAATGGGAGCCCCTGGGGAGGGAGTGTCGCAGTTATGTTCCAGTCTGAGTCCCTTGGACCTTCCTGGCCCTGTTTCTTTGGAGAGGCGTTTGTATCCGCATGGCTTGACTGGGTGGTGTTTTTCCTATAATGCATTTCTTCCTTAGAGTCTTTCTTTCCCTAATCCTATCCCTAAGAACCGAAGGTCTTTTCAAGTCCGCAGCACTGGAATACCCTCCTTGTCTGCTCCCACAATAGGCAGCAGGCCGGTAAATGCTGGTCATCTGCACCTGTCTGCATTCAACCTATCAGGTTTGAAGATTAAAAAGCCTTTTTCCCCTCAAATGCACCCCTGCCCTTGAGATTCTCTAGTAAAGAGGCAGAGAAGTAGCCAGAACGTTACCAGAATGGGGTCAGGAGTCATTGTGGTGGAACATTCTGGAAAGGGGGCTGGGTGATTGCTGTACAGATGGTGTTGGGAGCACAGGCCACAGTGCCTGGTGCCCAGGTGAAGGCTTGCACACGGGCTGAGAAGAATGACCCATAGTGATGGACACGGAAGTTGCTCCGAAGGCATGGCCTGTACTAAATCTTCTAGCCAAAATCATTAGATTTGCTTGTGTTTAATCCCAGGTCAGCAGCACTGTTAGCTGTATTTTGAGGGTGAGGAGGAATGGATCGGGAGCTTTTGTATAGAGAATGGACGTAGGAGGGGTTCAGGGGGATGCAGAGAGGCTGGAGGGCCACTGCAGCCACCCCCGTGAGAAGGGGTGGAAGCTCACATTGAGGAGATGGGTTTCAAAGGGACCTATTAGGATTTGCTGACGGATGGGATGGAATAGGCAGAAGAGCAGTGAGACAAAAATAGCCTGTGGGTATATAGCTTGAGCCACACTCGGGTACCCTGGGCTACAAGGAAGAGTATGGGCGAGTGAGGAAGGCAGTAAGAGCTCTGGGCCCTCCCCAGCGAGGGAAGGAGGCAGGAGCGGACACTTAAAGAAGCCTGGGCAGAAATGCTGGAGAGCCATGAGTCCTCTGCTGGCTTCAGCTCTGGTCCTAGAGACTGGAGCCAGCACTGGAAACGGGAATGGCAGGATTCGATTTAGGGGCTCCCTCTGGCAATGAAAAATTCTGTTGCAGACTTGGCCACGGAGACTGTCACGTGTCAAGAGAGTGGAGGGGGGGAGATGGAGGAGGCGGAGAGGCGGGCCATAATGGATAGGCTGCGAGGTGGCATGACCCTCCCCTGCCTGGCCTGGGAGCTGGGGCCGCCACTGCCCAGCCGGGGCTGGGCCTGTAGAGGCCTCAGGTCTTGTGCTGCCGCCAGGAACCACTTAGCTGAAAGCAGGTCTGGTTTATACCTGTCCTTCAGGAGCTGATGCCAAATCCTACAGAACCCTTTTAAAAAGCCACACCAGAACAAACCCATCCAGTACTTTCTCACTCCTGGTTCAGGGGGGTCTTGTGGCAGTAGCACAGTCTGAGTCCCTAGCCCTCTCTGCTAGGGAGGAATAAGGGGACCCGGCCCCACTGCCTAATTATTCCAGGGTGCCATCAGAGAGAGGCTGAGCTTGGACAAGGCGGCATTGTTCAAGGTGACACTAAACAAAATCCTCCCTGTCGTCTCCCAGTACTTGCCCAGAGCACCGCTCGCATTTACCCATTTCTCTCAGTTCAGGCCCAGCCAGGTACAGAGGCCAGATGGGAGACCTGAGGGCAGAACATGTTTCCTGGCAGAAACCCAAAAATGGTGACCATTCTGAGCCCTCAGAGAGACTGATGAATACTGTGGACCCCCCTGTCTAGGAAAACACACATTCACATGAAATTCTGACCACCCTCGGGGATTCCGAGATGAGGGAGCTCCTCAGAGGCCGTGCTTGCCCCTGCTCAGCTAGACAGAGGGAGAAATCACTGACGAAAGGAGAGCACACAGCGGCCTTCATCTCCATTGTCTGCCTTTCCCTTGTGAGGGGGAAGCCCTGGGTCCAGGCATGTGGCCTGGAGAAGCAAGGGCACCAGACACTGTGGGTCTGGGTGAGCAGTAAAGGCAGAGAAGGAATTAGAGGACTCCAGGCCCCTCGGCCCTCCTGAGTATGGGAAGATCATGGAAGCTGAAGTCTGGCCTCCCTGGGAGAGGAAACCAGGATGGAAGAAGCAGGCTCAGCCAACGCAGCTGTGGAGAAAGGAGTTAGACCATCAGTGTGCACATCAGATGCGCAGTTTCTCCTGGGAATGCTAGAGGGGGTAGAGTCAAGGGCCTGGTTCACCTCCTGACTGCCGGGCTTATCAACCAAGTGTAAAGATAGCATCCGCTGTTATGGGAGAAACATGGACAGTGCCTGGCATTTTGTCACTCTCAGCTACATTCATTCTCACAAAACACTTCTCAAACCCAGTGCTGGTGGCTCATGCCTATTATCCTGGCTACTCAGGAGGCTGAGATCTGAGAATTGTGGCTTGAGGCCAGATTGTGCAGACAGATCCACTGGAGTCTTATCTCTGAGTAACCAACAAAAAGCTAGAAGTAGAGGTGTGCCTCAAATGGTAGAGTGCCAGCTATGAATGAAAAAGCCAAGCAAGAGCTCAAGGCCTGGAAATAAGCCCAATACCACCAAAAAAAAAACCTCTTCATTATTGTACAGGAAAAGAGACTGACCAGAGAGGCTAACTTCTTGCTCAGAGCCACTCAGCTAATTAGCAACCAAGTGAGAATTCAAGCTGGGTCTGTTCATCACCAAACCTCTGCACTTAGCCTCATTAGGCACATTTGGAGAATTCCAGAGTTGCCTGTTGGTCTCTATGACACGCACTGGTCCAGGTTCTCCAACAGGTGTTGCTGTGTGAAGTCTCCCTTCTTGTGCTCAGTGACACAGTACTATTCTGGAATAGCCTGTTGTCCTATATGTAAGTAAGCAGAACGACCTAGAAATCAGTGCTTCCCAGCTCCCAGCAACTGCTGATTGAAAAGAATATATAATGATCTTGTATTAAAAAAAAATAAAAAGGCAACTCTGAATTCAGAAACATGTCTATTTTTAGACTTACCTTTCTTCTAATTTGATTAGAGCTGTAATGGGAGCCCCATAAAAAATTAGACATCACAGAAATAAAGTGCTGTCTCCCAGAGAGAACCACTGGAACGTATTATTTATTGGTGGTATCAGAAGCATTATTCAGTAAGTCTGTTTTAATAGCCACAGCAGCACCATGCACTTGGAAATTGTAGTACGTACACATGTAAGACACTCGTTACGAGATGCTTTATGAGAAAATGCTTGGTGAAAATGGGGGTTTTGCAGACACCTTGAAATAACTCAGAAGCCCCAGGAGTAAGTTGTCTAGACTTTTTGGAACCAAATGTAGAAATGTATTTTAAACTTCACGAGCTCCCTCTTGTTCTTGATGGGTAAGGTTAGCCAGAGTGGAAGTTGTCGCATCTTAGGCTCCAGCCCAGGAGAAGGGAGCTGAGCACATTGTGCAGCAAGCCTCCTCCAGGAGGGGCTAAGGATCCCAGAGCTCCCTCTCCTCCAAGCCCTAGTATGTGCAGAGTTCAGCAGCCAGCCCACCCAGCAGAGCCGCTGAGAGCCTTCTGCTCGGGCAAACATCCTTACCCAGGCACCAAAATCAGTCTACCTGGTGCCCAGCATTTACCTACTTGGGTGACCTTCAACTAGTCTGGGGAAGATGTTTCCATGCAAGGGAATGAGTTCTCAGCACTTGGCCTCAGAACCTTGGCTCATCTCACACTGTCTCTGGACCCCGGTTTGCTCATCTCTGCATTGAAGGATTGACTTATAAGAACTCTGAAGTCCCTTTTCGTTACGAAGTTTTTGGTTGGGTGAGACTGACATCTGCTCCACCAGCGATCTGAGGCCTATACCTGAGAGGTTTGCTCTAGTCATCACTTCCCGTGGGGGAAGTTGGACCGTGTCTGTACATCCATACCGGTCTACACACCAGTTCCATGATCTCCTTCCTTCATTGTGTGACTGCGACACAGCGCCAGCTGAAGGAGATGCACGTGAGTTAGAGCTCAACCCTCAGCCTGGTGTGGCATGGGGCCCCGTTTGGATTTAGAATGTGGCACACAAAGGCCCCTCCAGCTAGCCCCTTCCTCCCTACATGGAACTTTTGACGGCTCTTCTGACAAGCCAGGAACACCAGAAAGTCTGTTGAACACCCTTCTTCCTTGACACCTAATGCTGTACACACATTGGCGTCCTCTCTGCCGCCCCTGCCAGGAGTCACTGGATGTAATGCTGCCAAAGTCTCTTCTGAGCCTGCACCCTTGAAAGGCGTCGGGCTGAGTGGGACCATTCTGGAGCCAGACTGCTCAGGTTCAGATGGCTGGCACAATTTCCTGGCTGTGGAACCATGGCCAGGTCACTAATGTCTCTGGACTTCAGGTCATAAGCTACTGGGGGAATATCATGAGGCCAGCCAGGTCATCATTCCCCTGTTTCGTGCCATCAGAGCTGTGCTTCCCTCACCTTGAGGTTTATTAGAGTAGAGACCTGGTCTTGATGCGATCTTCCTACTTTCTATCTGCTCCAAGATGGGGCTGTTGGTAGGCCAGTGTAAAACATAGCCTGCCAGGTAAGTGAAGCAAGACCTTTCTGCCAGGGAGACCGGCGGTTCCGCTGAGATGTGACAATGGTCTGGCAGGCACAGAGCACGTGTGACACCCATGTAGTGTCTCGAACACTCTGCAGCTCCTGCTAGAAAGGTGCTTACTGCAGATCTCAGGGCACAGGGCTGGGGCAGAACAGGCTGAGGTGGTGGCAGCTTCCCATTTGCCTCATGTCAGCCCCTGGGCTGCAGTGGGCATCTCCTCTGAAACAATGCTGCTCTGACTATAACATCTGTGGCCTGAGGAGAAAGTCCAAGCCACAGAGAATACTCTGGAAGGAGTTCTGCAGGACAGCCAGGATGGGGAACAGAGACCTGCAGATCAGACAGGAAGTGCTGGCTATCAGCAAAGGGGAGGGAGTGTCTAGGAAATTGTCAGATCTGATTAGGAAACGCTGACTAGGCCCGGGCGTGGATTGCTATGCTGAGCACCTGAGCTCCTACGTGCTCTGAGTGGGAAGTGTGTGCGGGATTTCAGAAGTTAGGACACAAAGAAGAATGTAAAGCATCTGATTAGTAATCCTTCTATTTGCCATATTGGTTGGATGTTGAAATACTAATGGTGTCTTAAGGTATTTGGGGTCAGGTGAAACATATTAAACTAACTTTACCTGCTTCTTTTTCCTTCTCAACTTAAACCAACCAAAGAATGTATAGTCCCATCTGTGTTTCTGTTGAACAGTGAGCCTTCGAGAGCAATTTAAAGGCTTGACTAGGGGCTGCATCTGCACCTTGGGCCCATCTGTGCTCTGCTTTCCCTGGGTCTTAGGCCACCAAAGCAGTAAGATGTTTGGAAATCCTCAGAACACACCAAGAACTTTCAGCCACATAGCCTCTGGGGAAAGCGTGATAGCTGCACTTCCTTCTCCCCACGCCCCCCAACCCAGAGTCACCATCCTGGGTTGTGTCACTGCATCTCATGCCCAGATCTGGCCCCTGTAGTTGGTTGTGCCCACTCTCACTCCCTAACAGGCACCCGGGGTCCATCAAGCCCTATTAAACAGCAACTCCACCTAGCAGTTCCAGAGCTCAGAATCGAGCCCTATAGGAATTCACATCACATGAGCTGCACAGAGGCTGCAGGGAGGTGAGCAGAGCACAGCCATTGGGTTCCCGATGCACATGAATAATTGAGCAACCTAGAAAGGCCACGGAAGACCATTTTGTACAGGTGGCAGCAGAGCTGCCTGGCCTGGTCCTTATGCAGCCTGCACTGTTGTCACTTCAGGCTGATTCTTCTCTGAGCACAGACAAGACTATTCTGAGGAAGCCAAGAGTCCTCCTGGCCCTACTGGAGCTAGAGCTCATCCTGAACAATCTATAGCAGAGCCTCTGCTACCTCTTCCCCAACTCATCAGAGGGTTTCCATCTCAGAAGTGGCTCTCGAGGTTTCTCCTAGGCCAAGTCTTGTGCTCAGGTGCCCCATGAAGGACCTGTTGGATGCTGGGGAGTGTTTTCAGGATCCCCCTCTGCACTATTGGGACAGGATGGCTTTGCTTCAGCAGTAAACTTCATGAGTAGAGTCTGGCTTTGTGCCCTGAGAATGCTAAACATCCAAGGTGTAGCCCGTAAGTCCAAGCAGGCCAGCTTCATGCCAGTTGGAGAGGACCCTCTGCCTGTCTGAGACAGCCTCGTGCTAGAAAGAAGGAAGTAAAGAGTGGGGATCCAGCAGGCTGGTCTTCTCCCTCGTGTACATAGCTTGGCTTCAAGTCATGACCTCCTGAGCCAAGTGAGGATGTCTGCCATCTGCCTGGGCCTGCCTGCCGTGCCCCAGGGCAATGGTTCCAAGTGTGCAGGAAGTTATGTGGCTTGTGGGGTAGGGGCAATGTGGGGCCCTACTTTCCCTTTACTCTCTGTCCTGATCTCGCCCGCAGCACTGACAGGGCCCCAGTGACCCTGCACCTCGATGGGATCGTGCAGGTCCTCAACTGCCACCTCAAAGACACAGCCATTGGAATGATGACCAGGATTGCTGTTCTGAAGTGGCTGTACCACCTCTACATCAAGACTCCCCGCAAAGTGAGCCCAGTCCCACCCTCCCAAGGCAACCCCTCCATACCAGAGGGCCTCTTCCAGGTCCGCCTCGGTTTCCCAGGCCTGCCCATGCTTGGGAAGGTTTGAGGTGGCTGTATGGGTTCTAGTATGGCAGGGAATGTGAGGTACCCTCCATGTACGGGGCGGGGGGGGAGAAGGGGGTCTGTTCAGACCAGCAGGATGCTGAAGCCAGTACAAGGGGGAGGGGAGCTCACAAATGCCCCTTCTCTGCTTTCCAGATGTTCCGGCACACAGACAGCCTCTTCCCCATCCTACTCCAGACGTTATCAGATGAATCCGACGAGGTAGGTCCTCAGTGCCAGCTACTCCACCTTCCTTTGGCGTGGCCTGAGCGTCTCCCCGCTGAGATGTGCCCAGTTGGTTGGTTGATGTCACGCTCTCCACATCCTCTTGTCATGGTCATTGCAAGAGTCTTTTAGCTGTGTACCATCCCAGCCACACAGCAGCGTTTGTCCCGGAGTTGGGTCAGGATGTTTCTTTTCATTGATTCCCTGCCTTTCAACCAAGTCGTTACTGGGCACATCCATTCACAAGGGCACAGCCCTTTTCTCCATCCATACCAGCTCTTCATGCTAATGGTCTGAGCTGTGATTCGCCTCTCTCTTTCCTTCTTCTGACTAGCAATCACTGTGGGCAGTGGGCAGAGCTATGTCTCTGGATAGCCATAGAGGCATAAATTGACAGACCTGTCCACACTTCCAATAGAAACAGGGGCGTGGATAGGGCTAGGATTAGACAAAACATAAGGAAACATTGCTCACAGATTCCTTGGAATGAGGCAGTTGGGTCCCCCCTGGGCTGATCCCAAGCTCACATGAGACCCTGGGTAGCTTTTCTAAACCCGGATTGGAGAGAAAAGCCAACGAGCCAGCCATTAGCCTCTCAGTCCTCTGAAGGTTCTCTGCATTTCCAGAAAAATCTCAAACAGATGGTCTGTGCATGCTCCTGATCCCCCTGCCTGCCTTACCTCCTCCTCCACACCCACCCTCATTGCCCCCTCATCCTGCTCCCTCACTCAGCGAGGCCCAGGTGGACGGGACACAGTTCTGCCTGTGAGCTGGGAGTGACTCACCGCATAGCCAGGCCCTCATTTCAGTACAGAAAGAAGAGGAGAGCTCTGCTGATTGCCGCCTTCCTAGGACTGCACTGGAAGCAGCTGAGTTTTCAGTCTTTTAAATTGAGTTGTTTAATCCCATCCAGCTTGCTTTGCTTGAAATTGGCTTTGTGTGTGCGTGCATTTAGAGGGAGCAGGAGGAGATGCAGTCCATTAAACGGCTCTGTTGAGGTTGCGGCTGTGGAAACTTGATTTGCTGAAGCGCCAAATGTTGTCAGGGCTTTGGGGCACATCTTGTGGGCCCCATGGGGAGAGGATTAAAGCTGCTTTGGGAGACAGTTATGGGGGTGCGGTGATAGAGAGGAAGAATCCCTCCTTCCCATCTCAGAGGAGAGATTTGTGGACCTGGATCATCATTGGTGAGTCACACAATTCTGCCACATCCTGGTTGTTCACCAGAATCCCATCCTTAAATGCCTCCTGCCCAGTCTCTCTGACCTTGGTGTTGAACTGTGAACTTGGCATTGGAAATACAGCCATGAATGAAACAGAGTTGTCTTCTACTGGAACTTCCTTTGCAAGGTATCTAGAAAGTGTTCTCTGGTGGATTTCTCCAAATACTTCCAAACACAGCTGTGATCAAATTGGAGTTTGCTGGGGTTCAAGCACCATATTAGACCCTTCATTTGCAAGAGCCAGAGATCTCAGGCAACAGTTTTCTGGGGAGCTTTGTTATTGCCATTTCTCAGTTCAAAAAGCTAAGGAAGGTTTAGTAACTGGCTTGCAGCAAGTTGGTGCAATAGCCCACACTCAAAGCCAACGCTGTTAAACTTCAAAACCTGTTCCCTTCACTGTTGACTTACCGTGTGTTAGCCAGTGCAGAAGCAGTGGAGGTAGGATGCCTGGTCTAGTGGGATCAGCCCATTTTCTCCTGACTAGAGGAGAAGAGTTTCTGGACTTTTTCTCTTGAGAGATATTTCAGTTTGATGTGGAGATGCATGTAGTTTGAAAAAGCTTCCCTTCAGCCCTCAAATCCCTTGTCCATCTTTCTTATTGATTTGTAGAAGCTCTTTGTATATTTGGTTCTTGCAATTTGTCATCTCTCTGGCAAATGTCTTTCTCTCCCAATATAATCATGATAAACTCACTCTCCTCGCGCTGGCAAAGAGTGCTGGCCTCAGGGGACAGGCTGTGCCCAGGTGTTAGTAATGACGCAAGAGCTGGGCATAGGGAGGGCAGAGCTCTACTCCCCTCCCCCTCCCACACCCACACACCACTATTCACAGTCCCATGGGCACTTGGCCTCACTGGGATGTCTCATCTACTGCTGTTCCTCGGTTCTGCCAAACTGACAGCTCCATAGGCCACACCCTCCTGGTATCCTCTGTTGCCTCTGCTTTTCCCTTATTCACATAAGTGGCTGTTTCCTCAGTACTGCCTGGTAGACATTGTGTCAAGATCCCTTTTGTCAGAAAGAATTCGCAGGTGTCAAATTAATATTCTTGGCACTGGAATAGAAATCCTCCCATTAGCTAGAGATCCAATTACTTCTTTTTTTAAGTGAAAACATGACCTTGATTTCCTCTGCCTGGAATGTGGGGCGCATGCTCAGAAGCTTCCTGCTGGACCCCCACATGGACTGGGGCAGTCATGTCCCAGCCTGAGTGTCCACTGGACAGACATCCTCTCCATCCTCCTGACAGTGGTGCTGGTCCCCTCACTGCCCCGCACCTGCCCTCCAGCCTGCATTTAAAGTTCTCAAGGGATCTCAGTCCCAATAGAAGAGATCAGGAAGAACATCCGTCCCCTCTTAAGTGAACGTTGACAGTCTGGACAATTAGTTAGCTGTCCCAGGCCTGGATCTTAGCTCTGCCGCTTCCTTGCCAGAGACTTTGAGTGAGGAATTTAGCTTCCTGGACCCATGAAGAGGGGTTAATGATGTTTGCACCTGCCTTCTAAACCACTGTTCCCAGAGAAAGGGTGAAGCGCCCACTGGACCCTGCCCAGCACATGTAGCTGTCCATCCTCAAATCAGCCCCTCGGACATGATGAACTCCCCACTCACAAGCAAGGCTCCTCCCCAGTAAGTCATCTTGTGTCCTTCAGGACAGCCTCGGAGTCTTCCTGCATGGAAGGCTTCCTCATCTGAGGGTCATTTCCGTGTTTTATGTTTCTGTTAGAATTAAGAATGGCACCCCTTTCTGGTAATGTTCCCCTCCCCCGCCCTACTTAGATCACGGGCTTTAGGGCAGACAGTTCAGGAGACCAGTCTTGGCTCTTCACTTAATGGTTGGTTGGCCTTGAACAAGTGCCCTAGTCTCTCTGAACCTCAGTTTCCTTATAGATACAGGGAAGATAACAAAAAAGCCTCCCTCTACCTCTCAAGGTTTGTCAGGGGATTGAATGAGACCATGAATATCAAATTCTTAGCACAGGACCCAACACACAGAAACTGAGGAGGTAAGCAGGACCCTCTAATGCTAGTAGTCATTTCAAGAGAGGGACCATCAACAAGATGGACACTTTGTCTGCCAAAAGCCCTCCCTTTAGCTTCAGCAGCCAGAGCTGGAGTAGAGACTCCTCTCTGTCCTCTGTTTCCTGCCTGCCTTGAGAGCACTGAGGAGCACAGCCGTGCTTGAGGGACTTGTGTTCCATCTCTAGGATCTAAGAAGGCAAGCAGGGGACCAAGTAGGGATTTGGATTTATGCCCCTCTGTGTCCTTCCTTCCTCCCTTCCTCACCTCTCAAAACCCATGGGTTGAAGGTGCCCAGCACAAGAGCAAGGCAGAATTCAGCATCAGCCTCTCTCATCAGCATCTTTCCAGCATCACTCCTCTGGCTCAAGTGGGGGAGGGCTCCAGCTGGCTTTTCCCATCCGGGAAGAAGAGAAAGGGCACCGTCGGCAGAGCCTCATCTCAAAAGCAAAAGCTCTTAGGCTAGGAGGCAGACCCCATGGGCCCAGTCATCATCTGGACCAGCTTTCTGCCGTGGAGCTTATTTGGCAGCCCCTCAGCATCTTCTCCGCACTTGGAATTGGGGTATTGAGGAGACTCAACCCCGGAGGCTCCTCACTTTTCCCTTCCCTTAGCTTCAAAGTCGCCATCAGAAGTTGCTGATTTCAGGTTATAGCTGATAGGACTGGTGAAGCAGCAAAAAGAATGAGAATCACATTGCTAAAAAAATTGGAAGTCTGTATTCAGGGGATGTTATTCACAGCTGTGGTAGTCTAACTTAGGAGCCCAACTATATGAAGACTGTGAGCAGCCATCAAAACCAGTGAGGCACAGGCCGTGACCTAAGAGGAAAGGGGCATGGAGTGTAGGTCCAAGGAATTGATTTGGAAGCAGCTGAAATAGAGCTTTTTGTCAAGGAGCTCAAAGTACCCTCTGGATGCAGCCATCCATAGCAGCTTGCTGCCTTCCCTGTCTTCAACCCTGGTGGGATATCCCAGACCTGCAAACCACTAAGGGGAGGGAACTGGGCACCTTGGGAGCTGTTGGTTCTTTTCTGGTGTGAGTCTCAGCCTGTCCAGCCAATCTCTATCTCTGAGCCTCTCAGCCCCTCCCCAGCAGAGTGGGTTCCCAAGGAATGACTCTGCTGGGCCCTAGACTGTATTTAAGGACAGTTTGTCCGGGGAGAAATAGACTTCACCTGTTTCTACTGCCTAGGCCCCAGGAGAAATGCCACAGAAAATCTAAAGAGATCTCTCTCAAGGAAGAAGGCACACAGGTGGCCTGAGATGGGCCCTGTACAGAGCTGGGGCTTGGGCTTCTTCTGTCTCAGGGCAGGAATGGCCCTCTCATTAAGTCTCTTTCCTCTTCACCGCATCCTGTCTGCCTCAATGTTTCCTCGACTTACCCTTTTCCAAAGGGTTCTCGTTACTTTGGTCTGGTAATTAACCACCTGGGCTGACTTTGTGTTTTATTTAGTAACAAGAGGAACTTGGGCATGAAGGCTCCCCTAGGGGAAAGCCCAGGTGCTTGCTATAAAATGGTAGTGGACAGCTCTGGTCCCCCTAGGTCCAAGGTGACTCAGGCTCTTCTTTCCAGTCTCCAGAGTGAGGGCCTTCTGTTGGTTACTGCCCATCCTCCAGTATCTGCTTTCAATGGGGGGCTTCCACTTATTTAGAGGTTCCTCCGTTGAGGGCATTTGAGGAGCTTGTGGTGGCCCCACTGGGGCCACAAACTGTGGCAGGTGCAGCGTGTCTGGGGAATGACAGAGCGCCCACTAA